GTGGGCGTGTCTGTGCTACTCTTTCTTTCCCTTAAATAAATGCTTACCCCCTCCTCAAAAAAAAAAAAAAGGAAAAGAGTTGGAAAACTTCTGGCTGTGCCCTACTGGCAGGGCAAAGTCATGCTACCACACAGCAGTATAATGCGAGACCTTAGGTCTGCGCATTCATCCAGGTAAGACAAAATACTGTTGAGCCAAATAAATAAATAACAAGTAGTGGATCCAGAGAGATAGTACAGTGGGTGGTGCATTTACTCTGCACACAGCCATTCCCAGATTTGATCCCCGGCATCCCCTCACCACCCCACCCCACCAGGAGCAACCCCTGAGCACTGCTAGGTATGGCCCAAAACAGAAAAGAAAAAATGTCTTAAAGTTGCAAAAGAATATATTCTCTAAGATGCTGTCCAGGCAGTACAAAAATATTAAAGGAAAACTGTCGTTTTGAAATACATTAAGATTAATAACAGTATTTGAGGGTAGGACGGCAAGAATGCTAGAGTTCCTCCAGGAGAATCATCTGGAGAGCTCTGATTCCCAGAGCGGGCGATTGACCCTGAGGGGTGTGGGAACACTGGGCATTGGGGGCAGGGTGGTCAGAGCATCAAGTGCCAGGGCTGCTTTCTTTTTGTCTGCTAAAATTCCAGGGGAGGGGTAGGAGCAGGATGATTAAGTTCAGTGCCCTGTGCTAGAGAGCATGTATTCTCAAAGGGAGCACTATTCCTCCAAGGGAGTAAATCTTGCTGCAGCAGGAGATACTGCAGTAGGTCACAGTATCTATATATGCAGAATGTTCCCTGTCACTGTCCCTGTCCTCCCGTTGTTCATCAATTTGCTCAAGCGGGCCCAGTAACGTCTCCATCGTGACAATTGTTACTGTGTTTGGCATATCGAATAGACCACGGGGAGCTTGCCAGGCTTTGCCGTGCGGGCAAGATACTCTCGGTAGCTTGCAGGGCTCTCTCCGAGAGGAGCGAAGGAATCAAACTCAACTCAGGTCAGCCTTGTTGGCCACTTGTAAGGCAAACGCCCTACCCGCTGTGCTATTGCTCCAGCCCAATGTTCCCCGTATTAAAATTTAATTAAATGGGGGTGGGGAGTCTATAAAAACCTACTAGGGACTGGGTCAAAGGGCTGGAGTGCATTTTTTTGTGGGAGGATCATACTCGGCTTTGCTTAGGCTTACTCCTGGCTCTGAGCTCAGGGAGCCAGGGATGGAAGCCAGAAGCACCTTACCCACTAGCTACCACACTGGCCCTAGATGGCATGTTCTGATGTAGAAGAATAGATTTAATCATCTTGTAGTTTGGGTTTTTTTTTTTTTACAGGTATACGGACAGGTTAAAACTTACCAGTTACACAGGTTAAATATATATGGTTTTTTTTATATGTCAGTTATACTTTATTAACACTTTTATTTATTTGTTTTGGGGCCACATCTGGCAGTGCTTCTGGCTCTGTGCTCAGGGATCACTCCTCACGGTGCTCAAAGGACCATATGGTCAGCCACATACAAGGCATATGCCCTACTCACTGTACTATCACTCTGGCCCTCTCAATAATACCACTTTTTTTAGAAAGTAATTGGGCTTATAATCCAGAGACAATAAATTATTTTCACATAGAAACATGCATACAAATGTTTATAGTAGTTTTATTCATAGTTGTCAAAACCCTTAAATTTGCTTAAATGAACATCAATGCAGATAGAATCCAATAAACTGTAAAATGGTATTCTATGAGAAAAGGGACCAGACTATTAGTTCAAGCAACAGCTTGAATGAACCTCAAGAAAATGATGCTTCGTGGGAAAAGGGTGTCTCAAATATATGTGTGTTGCATGCGTGTGTGTGCATGTTTGCCACTTGATTCCATTATATGACATTTATGAAATAATATTTATAGAAAACAAATCAGTGGTCGCTAGGAGTTTGAGGCAGGGAGTTTGAAAGTAGCTTTTATGAAGCAGCACACAGGAGGGAGTCTTCGACCATGTTTTAGTTCATTCCTGGCTATAGTGTATAGTGGTTGTGACATGAAACTGCACCTGTGATAAGAATTGCACCAAACTTCTCTCTCTCTCTCTCTCTCTCTCTCTCTCTCTCTCTTTCTCTCTCTCTTTCTCTCTCTCTCTCGGTGTGTGAGTAGCTGGTGAAATCTAAATAAACTGTGTGCTTTTGCACCCGTGTTGATTTCCTGGATTGGTATTTACCATAGTTGTGAAAGATGCTCATAAGAAGTTTGCAGATCCTCATTGCAATTACCTTTCAAAATAAAATATTGGAGAGAGAGAATTCTGGTAACTAACACCATGCCTCTGGTGTCCAGATCTTAGGTTCTAAATGCTTTTAGAAATTGGAGCTTTTTGAAAAATGGGGGTGAGGAGGGGCTGGAGCAATAGCACAGTGGGTAGGGCGTTTGCCTTCCACGCAGCCAACATGGCCGACCCTGGTTCAATTCCCAGCATCCCATATGGTCCCCTGAGCACCGCCAGAGGTAATTCCTGAGTGCATGAGCCAGGAGTAACCCCTGAGCATTGCTGGGTGTGACCCAAAAAGCAAAAAAAAAAAAAAATGGGGGTGAGGCGGGGTTCTGAATGTATGCCTGGGGGCTTGAAATACATCAGATAAACCTTAGGTAGTTTGCCGTAATAGAAAGTAAGGAAATCATTACACAACAGCTGTTACTCTAGAACATAGGTTTTTTTTTTTAAGTTCTGGTCTCATACGTGAGAAATATTTATGGATGAAATGATATAGCTAGAGTGGAAGAGGTAGGCGGGCTTAGTGATGAAACCCATCAGCCGCGAGGGGGTGTTTGTAGAAGCTGGTGATGAGGACATGGGGGTGGGCATGGGAGAACAGGCTGTTGTGTCTTGCTTTTCTGTTTTCACTTTTTCATCGTGGAATGTTGAACTTTTTAGCTGGAGCATTTTCAAAAAATGAAAGGTTTGCAGTGTGTAGTGCATGAAGAGAAAGCTTTGGCAAACAGACAGCTGATCCACTTAGCTTCTTCCACATGATGATTCTGGAGGTTCTCAGGGCTGATACTAGCTACTGTGTATGAAAACTGAACCTTCAGGAAAAGAAGAAAACATATTTCTTTTTGCGAATGTGCTTTTTATTCAGTTCATTTTTCCCAGCCAGCTTCTCCTAACCACTGCTAACCCTATCCCACTTCTTAAGTCTGTATTATATATGTGTGTTTTACTCAATTATGGAATTTCATAGTTCTACATCTTGGAATCTCTACTTATACATCTTAATTCATACACACACATACACATTTATTTATTTTTCATATTGAAATTTTGTCCTGGTAGCTCTCTCAACAGGTGATAGTTGAGTGAGCAGGACAATAACATACTGCAAATGAAAGATTAGAAAAATATGCACAGTGGAACAAACTAGCAAATGCATTTCTCCACCATCCATCAAATGCTGCTTTCTCTCCTCTTTCTCCAATATGGAATGCTATAAATATTTTCCAGGGACCATCTTTCCATGTATTTGCTTTCCTACTTTCAGGGTACTAGGATTCTTTTCTGGATATATTCCTTTACTCAGACGTCCTTTTGCTTGAAGGTGACCTGGGCATGATTAGACCATCCTATGATATACTATTTTGTGCTGTGGCGGCAGTTCTCCGTACTCTAGACTTGAAGAGGTCCTCCGAAATTTAGAACCAGCAGAGGAACAAGGTGCACATGTCAACTGTGCACCTGCACATTTAAAAGAATAGTATTCTTCAGTGGAATACTATGCAGCTGCAAAGAACAAGAGAATCATGCAACTTTCGGCAGTCTCGTGGGAACTGGAAGATAATCATGTTGAGTGAACTAATCCAGAAAAAGAAAGACAAACACAGGGTGATCTCATTTATCTGTGGTGTATAGAATACTGAATGAGGAAATGTAGTAACAGTGGGATGACCCCGAAGTTTAGAGAGAAGGACAGAAACAGAAATCAAGGGGGCGAGGAAGAAAGTGAGAAAAGGAGTAATGGAACAAACAGGGGGTTGAGGCTTTGGTTACACTGGTGATGTGGGACAGCGGTGTAGCATATACCTAAAACACAGACTCAACAACACTGAAAACATGAGATCTAAGCTGCATCCCCTGGAACTTTATAATGTGCCTCTCAAGGTGACAGGAAGGATGGAGCAGGTGTTGGGGTGGGGATGAAATATGGGAACACTAGTGGGGGAAGTTGACACTGGTTGGGGGCTGGTCTTGATATATTATATGCGGAGGCTGGAATGATAGCACAGCGGGTAGGGCATTTGCCTTGCCCGCGACCGACCTGGGTTCGAGTTTCAGCATCCCATATGGTCCCCTGAGCACTGCCAGGAGTAATCAGTATCTTTGGAGATCACGTTTCTTTAATTAATTTTTTTTTAATGTTAAGATTTTTTTTTCTTTTTGGGTCACACCCAGTGATGCTCAGAGGTTGTTCCTGTCTCTGTACTCAGGAATTACTCCTGGCGGCACTTAGGCGACCATATGGGATGCCAGGGATTGAACTCGGGTCAACTGCGGGCAAGGCAAACGCCCTACCCACTGTACTGTCATTCTGGCCCCTTAAATTAAACTTTTTAAATCATTTTTAAAGAAATAAGATTTGTGTTCTTTATGTTATTCAAAAGTACTATATATTTTTTTTTGAGCACTTGCAAGAATTCATGTAGCTTAATCCCAATATTTGAACTACTTTCTAAACTAGTATTTTCCAAATTTAGACTCTGGGAGAAAAGAGGATATTTAAATAACAACCGTCATCTAAAAAGGGTGGAGGGGACCTGGCCTCTGTGGGGCCTTGGGTTTAATTCCCAGAACCTAAAAGGAGTGGGAAAGGGGAGGAGATTAATTAGTATTCCTTTTTGACTGCATAGAGGTGGATGATTCTTACTTTTGGAAAAACTGAAGAGCAGATATTAAAGTTTTCAATGTTATTACTGAACATTTTAATCCTGTTACAAACTTATTTTTATTTTCTCTGCAGGTGGTCCGGGACTACAATCTCCAGTTGTTTTTACAAGAGAATGCTGTATTTCATAAACCCCAGCCCTTCCAGTTCCAGCCTTGTGACAGTGATACTGTAAGGGAATTTCAGGTTTTCATTTAATATGCTGTTACACTGTTTTTGTGTTCAACTGTGACTCTTGAAATAGAAACCAGAAAAGCTAATAATGTCTCAGTAATTTCATGCACAACTGTAAGGCCACGGAAATGCTATGACATTTCTTCTTCCGAATAGTACTCAAAATTTTATGCTAACAACTTTTGACTAGGTGCGGTTAAGTTATAAGTCAGGTAACTGACCACCTGCAGATACACTGAAAAAAAGGAAAAAATATTCCCTAAGTGTTGTATGCTTGGGGGACCATGCGGTGCTGGGGATTAAACCCAGAACTCTTGCCCGTAAAACTTGGGCTCTAGCCCTTTGAGTTCCCCACTCCACAATAAGAATTTTTTAATTTAAAATTAAATTTTCTTTTCTATCAGTGAAATTCTTCATGTATATGCTCTTTCAGAGAAACCAGTGGCGAAATTTTAGCCAGAACACAATTAATAAATATAATCCATATGTATTTGCAAATATTTGTCTCATAAAAAATAAGCCCTTTAGGAGTCGAAGTAATTATACAGCAGGTGGGGCGCTTGCCTCGCTCGTGGCTGACTCAAATTTAAACCCGAGCAGCCCACATGGGTCCCCCAAGCACTGTTAGGAGTGATTCCCCAATTATAGAGCAAGGAGTAACCCCTAAGCCTCACCAGGTATAGTCCCAAAACCAAAACAATAAGCCCTTTAGCGGGGGTGGAGCAGTAGTCCAGTGGGTAAGTACCAGAATGGCCATTTTCATGTTTTTCTGTGCTATTGTTACAGGGCCATACATGGCAGTGCTCAGCTCTGTGGTGCTCAGGTGGCCACCAAGGCCACAGCTACACTGTCAGGGGATCTGCAGTCCCAGGAATCAAACCTAGGACTTCACACATGCTGAGCGTGTGTTCTGTGCTCACATCATATCCGTAGCCCCCAGATTGGCGATTTGCATTAAGCAGGCATTGATCATTCACTTATCTTCAGGTTTATGAAAAGTATTTGCCATTATGTGATTCTTTGAAAAGGAATCAAGCAGTCGGGAAATAACTCCAGATAGAGCACCTGACCCATTTGGATCCCCAGTATCACATGGTCCAGCCCCAGAGGTCCCGTTGCATTGTCGGGGCGGCCTGGGTGACCCCCAGCACCACGGGGCTCCAAGCAGAGTTGCATCGTCAGGCCTCTGTATCTCATCTCTTTGGGTTGGCTCAGAATTGCTGGTGGAGTCCCCAGGTCTCTTGGGCACTGCTTGGGAGCTCTTGGATAAAAAGGGTTGGAGCGATAGGCTTGGGGGGGTGGTCGCCCCAGCCCCCAGAGACACTGGGTGAGGCCCTGTGTCCTCTGGAACCTCTCGGGTCCACCACCAGAATGGCCTCCAGGTCCCCCATCATCACTGAGGACACCCCATCTCTCTGGGCTTCCTGGTATCTGTTCAAAAAATACCGAGAGGTCCAGAGAGATAGTAGCAGGAGGAACCCCTGAGCACCACTGGCTGTGAGCCAACCCCTCTCCTCAAAATAAAAGAGACAGAAAACCAGAGTGCTGGGGCTGGAGAGATAGCACAGTGGCAAAGGCCCTTGCTGTGCACGAGTTTGAGCCCCGGCATCCCATGTGGCACCCCATGTGCCACCAAGAGTTAGTTCCTGAAGACAGAACCAGGAGTTACCCCTGAGCAGCACCAAAACGAAGAAAAAAGAAAAGCAGAATGCTGATTTGATAACACAAAAATATGTATATGTTTAATTTCTACAAAACGAAACAAAAAAGCAGTTTGGCATATTAAAATAGTCTCTCAATGCAGAGAAGCAAGGGAGAAGTCAAATTCTTGCACTCTTTTGGTAAAATCAGGAATTTATGATATCAGAATATACTGGTATTAATTTAATAGAAATCTTTGCTGGAGATGTCATCACTTTTCTTACTAAACTGTTGCTGGCCTATATGAAGCCTTTGGAAACTGCTATTTCTCTCTCGACCATTACCCTGGTCCTTCACAGTAGTGTCTTTTCCCCCATTCCACTAGCCCTGTCTTACGATTGGAAGCCCACAGAGTACAGCTGAGCAATGGGGGAGACAGGGCACGGGCAGGGTACCCAGTAGAAATAGAATCCAGCTGATGAGACCGTTTAATCCTAGCCTTTTTCCTCAGTCTAACAGTAACTCTGCTCTCTCTTCTCCAAAGCCCAAGACCACCTTAACCCTTTGTTTCTAGACAATGTGCTAAATGTGCTTAGCTGTGTGTCCCTGTTTGCCTTCAATTCTAACTCTGTGCTGTTTTCTGTCCTTGTGCCATCTTTACTGGGCAGAGTTTAAAAGCTGCCCAACTGGTGGATATTGAGCTCTCCCCTGTCAGTGCTCTGAGAATGACCATAGCTGAGGTATATGGGGGTCAAAGGTGGGAGGGTTGGGTGTGTGGTTTGCATGTTAATGTTGGGTGGGACCGTGTATTGGGACAAAAATTATATGTATGCATAGATCTATGTATGAGGCACTGCTTTTGCGTCCACTGCGCCTTTCCGTTTATGAGGGTAAAAATTAGGGATTTCCTTTACTGTTCAGAGTGAAAACTTGAATGTGGCCTTTTCCATCTTGTCTGAAGCACCTCACGCTCCCTTCAGCAGGAATGCTGGAAAGAACTCCAGTGGAATCCAGTCCTTTTTGAGGGAAGTTAAAGCCTAGAAAGGAGGACATATGGTGAATGGAGCCCAGTCATAGAGTGAGTTAATGACATGCAGAGTGAGCTGGTACCGCAGGTAGGGCACTTGCCCTGCACACAAGCTGACCCAGGTTCAATCCCCGGCACTCCACATGCTCCCCTGAGCCCTGCCAGGAGTGATCCCTGAGCCCAGTAGGCCTGGTCCCCAAACAAAAAACAAACCAAAACAGTGTCGTTCTGTTTTCTGAGAAGAAATGTTAGAGGTTGGGGAACAATTAATTTTTTTTATCTTGGGAAAAGATGAATGCTCACATTTTTATAAACATCACCCCAGTTGTTCACCTTTGGGAAAAAAGTTCTTAATGGTTCTGAAACTGACTCTAACTGCAGACTATTTTTACATGTAATTACTGTTTTGTTGACTTACTGCCCACAGAGAGTAAAGCCCCAAATGATTATTTCTGTTCTATGTAGACTAACCCTGTTCTTTCATGTGAGAATGGGGCGGCCAGTTAAGGGCTTTGGTGGCTTCCTGTTGGAGTTACTAGCATGTAAGCCTGTTACAGAGCGCCAGTCAGTGCCCACTAATTAATCCTTCCTGCCAGGTGGGTCACTGCAGACCCCAGACTGGATGAGCTCACCAGCATGTATACAGAATCTGTCAGTAGTCAGCCAATTGCCGGGTATGGTAGTGTGCCCTAGCACGCAGTGGTGAAGGTGATTGCAGCATCCTCGTGTAGGGAGCATTCTTACCGCTTTACTGGGGTATGTTTTGTCTATCATCCTCTAATGCTTCCATTCAAAATGTATGCTTTGCAGGGAGAACCAAAAAGATAGTACAGCAGTTAGAGTGCTGGCTGATGCATGCAGTCCCCTGGGCCCCTCCAGGAAGTGATCCCTGCACACAAAGCCAGGGGTAAGCCCTGGGTGTGGTCAAAAAACAAACAAATAAAATATTTGGTATGTTTTTTTGAAATTTGTTGATATACATAGTCATTATTATAAATAAGTTTTAGAATATTTTCATGATTCAAATAATATCCTTCATTGAATGAGTCTATGAGATTAAGAGTAATGGCCAATTACTCTTAATCTCATATATGGTTCCAGTCCCTAAGCAACCCCAGATCTGTATTATTTCTCTATAGATTTGCCTTTTGTAGACATTTCACATAAATTATATGTTATAAAGTCTCCTATGTCTTGCTTCTTTTAGCACCTCAGCATCTTATTTTTGAGACTCATCATGTCTTGTATTGTATCAGATTTGTTCACATGCACGCACGCGTGTGTGTGTGTTTGTGCGTATGTGTTTGTGTGTACGTGCGTGCGTGTGTTGCTGGGGATCAAACCCAAGGCCCCACACATGCAGAACCTGAGTTCCACCACTGAGCCACGTCCCCATCCCAAGTTTGTTCGTTAAGTGTGTGAGAGTATTCCATCTTGTAAGTCCACCATATTTGGTTTGTTGTTTTCTTCAGTAAATTGACATTTAGGTTATCACTCACTTAGGGCTATTACAAATAATGCTTTTGTTGTCATTTGTTGCCAGTCTTTGTGCAAATATATTTTGGCTTCTCTCTTCTCTGAAGGTTGGGGAGGTTATCCTGGGCAGTCCTCAGAGGCCCATGTGCTGCCCGATCAGTCCCCTGACTCCAGCACTCCGAGCCATCTCCCTGGCCTGCCTTCTTTCCTCTTACGTTGCTGGCAGTTGTACGTTTCATAGGATGAATTTGTGTTTTGTGTTTTGCTTTTTATTAAACTGCCAGACTCTTTCCAAGTGCCAGTACCATTTTCTGTTTCCGTCACTGTCGTGGGTTCTCGTGTTCCCTTTCTTCACTGCCCATTGTCATTATCCATCCTTTGATTTTTTTTTCTTTTTGGGTCACACCCAGCAATGCACAGGGGCTACTCCTGGCTCTGCACCCAGGAATCATTCCTGCTGGTGCTCAGGAGACCATATGGGATGCTGGGAATCAAACCCAGGTTGGCCGCGTGCAAGGCAAACGCCCTACCCGCTGTGCTATTGCTCCAGCCCCTCCATCCTTTGATTTCAGCCATCCTAATGAGCATGAAATAACTTCTCATTGTTGTTTCTATCTGAAATATTGAGGAACTGGAAAGATAGCTCACAGTGCTGCAGTATATGCCGTCTGTATGGTGTGGGGACCCCAGCACCACATGGCTCCTCCCCCAAGCACTGCCAGGTGGGGCTCCCAAAACCAAAGAAAGAAATACATCCTTTCAGCAGAGTACCAGTGCTTGACTCTGTTTTGTTTCGTTATGGATAAAATGGCCAGTTTATAGGTTTGAAAGTTAAATGGGATATATAAACATTTGACTTAGTGCCTGGCACAGAGCAAATGCAGAATAAATATTTCCTGCCTTTTTAAAAATTTTCTTCCTTTCCACAAGACACACTTATGTTGTTTTACTACGTTTTACCACCATAGCTACAGGAAATCCCAAGATATCAGATACAAAAGGCATCATTGCAAAGATTGCTGGGCTCTTGCAGCAGTTTTTCAGTTTTCCAGTCAAAGCCTCCCCAGCCCTGAGCCCCCGTGAGCTGTAGAGGCCCCTGGACTCCTGCTGACCTGCCACTTTCTGAAGGGTCCATCTCATCCTCTCATAGTTTATAAGCCTCTGCAGAGTGGGTGAAGTAGCAGCCCACAGCTGACCGTCAGGGCCCTGCCTGCTCCCTGTATCCCAAGTCTGTGGCTGGCACTCTACCTCTCAGAGGATGCCAGAATGGCACGTAATGGGAGAAACAGCCGCGGCCACACAAAGCACGGAAGTATGGGGTATACAGGGAGGAAAAACTTCAGGAATTTCCCCCCAGATTTCCTGGTGGAGATGACAGATCTTTCCTCTTTCCTCTTTACCTTCCGTGAACTGGAAATAATAAAACTGTTGTTTGGACAACTGGTTCTGTGGCTTCTCTCGCCTTCTGTAGATTAACAGTCAGGTTCAGCAAGATAACTAGTTGCTGTAATTTAGGTTTTTAAATGTTGAAAGTTTTGCTTAAGTGGAGCATCTTATACATCTGTTAAAAATAAGTATTTGTCCGGGAGAATTGATCCACAGAACTAAGTTGATTTTTTTTTCTTTTGTGGGGTGCAGTGAAAGAGGAGAAGCATTGGGGATTTAGGGGGGTGGCTTCCCCCTACAGTGGATGTCATGCTTGAATTACATACATGGGAAACGATCATTGAAATTATGGTAAATCACAGTGCCTCAATCAATAAAGAGAAGTTTAGAAGCCGGAGTAATAGTACAGCAGGCAGGGCACTTGCCTTGCATGCGGCCCACCTGGGTTCCATCCCTGACACCCACCTGATCTTTGGAGTCCCCCCGCCAAGAGTAATCCCTAAGGGCAGAGCCCAAAGCACCATCAGGTATAGCCTCAGAACAAACCGAAACAACAACAACCCCCAAAAGAGATGACCAAAAAAAAAAAAAGTTTAAGTAATAGAAATGTAAGAAATCAAAGTATATGGGAAGACAAAGCACGAGGTCCTGAGTACCTGGCATCACATACGCCCACATACTTCCACTGTGCCCTGGCGTCCCCCAGCCGGGCAGCACCACAGCTGGAGCCGGCCATCCACACTGTGGCACACTGGGTAGACGCACATTCAGAGACCTTTCAACCATTGCCAAATTTTACCCAGCCCCCACCTTCAGTTACACAGTCCTTTCCAGGATCAAAAGAGTATCGAGCGCCAAGGTTGTGTTGGGTTTGCTTTTGTCTCTTTGTCATTACTCAGGGACAGACTCTTCTCCGAGATGTACCTTTGATGTTCCCAAACCAAGACCAGGGAAGGTGCCCCTGAGAAGTCTCATCTGCACCTCACCCCGTCCTTACTAGAGTTGTAGATCCTGGTCCACAGCTATCTGCAGTTTTCCAGAAATATTTGAAAGCTGGAGCCACAACTCATTGTCCTCCAGTTGATGCCCCTGAGAGCCCAGACAGGCCGAGCCCATTCTCTCTGTTCTCCTCTTCTCTGAGTGAGCGAGCAGCTGCTCCCAAGCCTACATACACAAAATGAGTCGATTCTGCCTTGGGGGGACACGGGTCTGCTCCTTTGCAAAGCCCGTAAAATTCGAAACTCAGAGGCCCACCGCTTAAACAGCCCTGTGAGCAGGATGTGTGTGAAAACTCACATGCTTTACATTTCATGTGTCAGAAAGGGGACTTACTTACCTCGGTACTGTATAACTTCCTAAGCTCAACCTGATGAAGAGTTCCATGATCAAACAGTGGTTTTTTAGTAAAACTTTTGAATAGTCAAACTAAGTGAAAGGGTGGCCAAAAAAATAAAAGCTATAAAAAAAAGCTCTCTTTAGTTCAGATTTAGTTTTGCTACAAATGAATTTGGGTGCCAAACTTAGCAACCGCCACCCCCCAAACCTGTGACTTTCAGAACATACTGAATATCAGAATTACAGGAATCCAAGCTATATTAAGCACTGAGTGCTAGGAATACACGCTCTTACAGAGTTTCTATAAAGCTTTTTACTTGGAGATGCTTTTTATTTAAAGAGGTTCTTTTGAGAACAAATAGTAATTAACTTTCTAAAAATAATTATCAGTATATTATTAAGTTGCATAAAGAGGAACACGATCACAGATTTAACACAGTGCATAACTAATCTCCCAATAAACTGAAAAATGCAAGTAGTACAAATCCCTCGAATGAGGGTTAATAAAAACGTTGCTCCTGGCACGTGATACTGGCATGACAACCCTAACATTAACTTCTTAAAAACTGGGCTGGAATTGGTAATGTTTTGCTATGTTTATGGTATTTGTTCATCATGCATGCACAACCCCCCTCCTCTCTCTCTTTCTCCCTCTCTCTTTCTCTCTCTCTTCTCCTCTCTCTCTCTCTTTCTCTCTTCTCCTCTCTCTCTCTCTCTCTCTCTCTCTTCCACGTGGTTATATTTGAGGGTTATATTTGAGTTACAGACTTGAAAAATAAGGACTGTTTCTTGTTTTTCTCTCCAACTCAATTTGCCTGCCTGGGCACATGTTCATATATGTCCAGTTCTGTGCCCTCATAGGATAACTAGAATCGTATCTGAACTGAGTACATTTGTTTGTTTTGTTTTCTGGGCTTACCAGACAGTGCTCAGGGGATATGTCATGCTGGAGATGGAACCCAGAGCGCCCACATGCCAAGAATGTTCTCCAGCCAGTTGAGCCACCCCCTGGCCCCAAAATCCTATCTTGTTGAGGTCTCTAAGGACAAAATAGTTTTTTTTGGGGGGGTCACACCCGGCGATGCACAGGGGTTACTCCTGGCTCAGCACTCAGGAATTACTCTTGGTGGGGCTCAGGGGACCATGTGGGATGCTGGGAATCGAACTCGGGTTGATAGCATAGCAAGGCAAATGCCCTACCTCCAGCCCCAGGACAAAATAATTTAAAGAATGCAAAGACTAATACATTGATAATATTAGAATATTTATGTTGGTGATGCCATTCTTTCAAATGAGTTGATTATTTTTAAAATTTAAAAAAAAAACTGCAATTTAGTACTACATTCTGAAAGGATTGGGAATTGTGTCTGAAACTCAGCTAGCCTCAAAGTGTTTTTAAACTCAATTGGAAACAGTTTGGCTTTTTTTGTTTTGTTTTGTTTTTTCCTAAAAATAAAATTCAATCAAAACATACCTCACTTCTAAATAAAACCTTAGTCAAAATGTCCGTGGAAGATATTTTATATTTTAGCAAATTTCCAATATTTCTCTCTGTGTTTTCAATATTAGCATTAGCTGAATAGGACCATCCATAACACTGTAAAGAAATAATTTTTCACCTAGCACAGGCCTAGGTCAGAGTCTCTCAGATGGGTGATACCAGCCCCAGGGGTTGGAGGCACTTGATGGTCTTTTTTCCTGGGAAGGGGATAGTAGACCGAGCAAATTTGGCAACCTCTGTGATCCACTGCTTCGTGGCTTCAGGAAAGCCACTAAGTCTAGATGTCCACACTTACTGTCACTGTCCTCCCGTTGTTCATCGATTTGCTCGAGCGGGCCCAGTAACGTCTCCATTGTGACACTTGTTACTGTGTTTGGCATATCGAATACGTCACGGGTAGCTTGCCAGGCTTTGCCGTGTGGGTGAGATACTCTCGGTAGCTTGCGGGGCTCTGTGAGAGGGGCGGAGGAATCAAACCTGGGTCGGCCGGGTCGACCGCGTGCAAGGCAAACGCCCTACCCGCTGTGCTATCACTCCAACCCTTCCACACTCACACATTGAGAATACTCTTTCTTACAATTGTTTTGAGTACTAACTGAAATAATGTTGTAAAGCATTGGCTCAGAGCTTAGCCATTCAATAAGCAATTCCCTATCGTCCAGCAGTTAAATTGCTTACCTTGCATGGCGTGACCCAAATTTAGACCTTCGCACCACATATGATCCCCCAAACACTGCTGACCACAGAGCCAGGAGTAGCCCCTGAATAGAGCTGAGTGTAGCCCAACCCCCTAAAAAATAATAATAAAGCAAAATACCAGATTAGCATTGCTTTTTTTTTTAAGTTGGGTAGTATTCCATTGTACGTGCCACATTTTCTAATTATAACACACCACCCCCCTCAAAAACAAAAATATCATGGAATGTTTTCATCTGAATTCTGACTTGATAATATTTTGATCAATACTCTTCTGAATATCTCTTTGGGCACGGTTGAGAAGAAGTAGATGTAGATATAGGTAGATATGGAGACAACTTTACATATCAATTTATAGTATACAGATAAGTTTAAACTTTTTCTGTTCAACATTGTTCTCTCTGATATGATACTTGTGGTACCCTTAGTCCCTGACAATCTCAGGAGTTTGACCTTGTCCTTCTCACACATCTCCCATAAAGTAAATTTTTTTTCTTATTTATCTCTAGAACCTTCTGAAACTATACCCATCATAAACTTAAAATTTTCAAGTAAATTGAAATTATGTTCTAAGATTTTTTTTCTTTTTTTTTTTTTTCTTTTTGGGTCACACCCGGCGATGCTCAGGGGTTACTCCTGGCTCATGTACTCAGGAATTACTCCTGGCGGTGCTCGGGGAACCATATGGGATGCTGGGAATCGAACCTGGGTAGGCCATGTTGTCTGCGTGCAAGGCAAACGCCTTACCTGCTGTGCTATTGCTCCAGCCCCTTAAGAATATTTTTAAATTTTTTAACGGAGGATCTTCTGCCCGTTGGTTAGGCCAGACCTTCAGATCATGGTAAAAAGGAACATGGGTTCAGTGCAGTAGCAGAATGGCCTACTGGGTTTCGGAGCCAGAGAAGCGCTGTTACAGCCAAGGCACGCACCTGTCTGTGTGTTTTCTTAACATTAATTGCAGCCCTAGTAAGAATTGGAGATTTCATCTTACCAAATATCTTGATTTTTTTTTTCTAACGCCATAAATGTTTGAGGTAGATTGGCTTATAATGTTAGTTTCAGATGTGCCACATTAGAGCTTAGTTGCTACATCGCACTGTGTGGTGAACATCACCAGAGTCTGGGTTCTGCCCGCCATGTACTCGCCCCTTTCCCAGTTTGGCCTGCCCCTTCCCCTCTTCCCCTCTGGAGCCAGCAGTCTCTTTCCAATACCTGTCTGAGTTTGTTTTTAATTTTGTTCTCTCTGTTCATTTGCTGTCACTTTTGTTCAGTTTTGTTTTAATTCCACATGAACAAAACCATCTAGTATTTCTAGCATAATATCCTTTGGATAATACGTCCTTGTTGCCACAAATGGCAAAATTACTTTTTTTTTTAAGTTGGGTAGTATTCCATTGTACATTCATTGTACACCTCTTCTTTACCCATGAATAGTACACTTAGGAATTCTCACAGTATCTTGGCTGTCGCAAATATTTCTGCCATGAGCAGATGTCTTGGTTTTTATGTAAGGAAGCTGAAGTCCAGAGAGGAGGTTAAAAGTACATTAGCCACCACCCCCCCCCCCCAAAAAAAGTTCTTAATTTGAAACCTCAAAATTGCTTTCATTCGGGGCTGGAGTGATAGCACAGCGGGTAGGGCGTTTGCGTTGCACTCAGTGGACCCAGGTTCGATCCCCAGCATCCCATATGGTCCCCTGAGCACCGCCAGGAGTAATTCCTGAGTGCAGAGCCAGGAGTAACCCCTGTGCATCTCCAGGTATGACCCCAAAAAAAGCAAAAAAAAATGCTTTCATTTTTTTTTTCATTCATTTTGAATGAATTTGTAGTAAAAATTTAAAGATGAAGGGCCGGAGAGATAGTACAGTAGGTACTACAGCGCTTGCCTTGCATATGGCCATTCCAAATTCAATATTTAACACCCCGAGCCAGTCCGCAGGCCCCACCAGGAATCATCCCTAAGTTCAAAACCAAGAGTAACAGCCCTAGGCATCATTGGGTGTGGCCCCCAAAAATTAAAAATAGATTCTCCAGTGTATTCTTTGTGAAATAGAATCAAAGCACTTTATAGGTAGAAAGGCCCCTTGAGTGGCTTTTGCTCCAACTGCCCCAGCTGTCATGTGCCAGTCAAGCCCAGAACAGAATCTAGTTTTGCGGTTTGGTGGTAAGTTGCTGATGAGCGTTTATCTCAGTGAACCCCGTCTCTTCAGGGCCAGAGAGCTTGTGTTGCCTTTGTTTTGTTTCCGTTTTTTTTTTACTCGCTGGTTTTTCACAATTTCTTAATTCTACTGAAAGTGTTGGCTTGTTTCCATTTATTTCTCTGCAACCCCTTTAATGTCACAGGAGGTTGATGTGAATAATTTTTTTCTTTGCTGAGCTTTCTTCTTCGCTTCACACCCAAAGTGGATCTTCAAGATGAAGCTTTAACGTGCAGCAGTGGTAGACAAAACGAAAGCCATGGTCGCGTCTTCTGCTCAGTTTTGTGGCATGCGCGCGTGCTGCTCTGTAGTGGAGAAGGCCTTGTGTCTGAGTGCCCGCGAAGTCACGGCCTCTGCTGTACCTACGGAACATGGCTCCAGTGACGACGCTCTCCTCTCTGTCCTCTCTTATGCTCTAGAGCCGACAGCTAGAATCTGAGACCGGGACCACCGAGGAGCACAGTCTAAACAAGGAGGCTCGGAAATGGGCCACACGGGTTGCACGTGAGCACAAAAACATTGTCCACCAACAACGGGTAAGTGAGAGCCCACTTTCATCTTGTTGTTGTTACTGTTTTACTGTTTTGAGTTTTGGTTTTGGGGCCCCCCCCCACACCACCCCCAGCGGTGTTCAGGGTTACTCCTAGCTCTGCACTCAGGAATTACTCCTGGCAGTGCTGGGGTGGGGGGCAGGTGGGGTTGGGGGTGCCAGGGGTCAAACCCAAGCCTCCCTACCCCCTATACGATCTCACTGGGCCCAGAGTCCACTTTCATCTTAAGTGTGAGAGGCAACTTGTATCTTAAACCAAATGTCAAGCCAATTTAAAGAGTTAAGTTTTATGGATGTTAAAAGTATCCTATATATGTTTCCCCTTACCTCCCTCCCCAGAATTTCTCAGCACTTGGTAGAAACTGTCACCTATCTCCCCAGTTTGAGAATTCCTTAAATAGTCTGCAACTAACTGCAATTAACTGCAACACGTAATTGCCCAAGTGTGGCAGGAGTTGTGGCTCAACAGTAGAACACAAGCCTTGCATGTGTGCGGCCTAGTTCGATCCCAGTCACCACACACACACACACACACACACACACACACACACACACACACACACACACACTTCCTAATAGGCTAGTTTTCAGGCTAAGAGGAGAGACACACATATTCATCCCCAAGACAAACCTTTTGAAGACTCAATTTGAATCAATTCCATGAAACATGTGCCTGAAGAACTGAATTCTTAAGCACAGAAAGATTATTTTAGGTATGGTAAGCATTTTCTAATTTCCACTTACTTTAAACATCATAGGTAAAAGGACCACTTCCTTCATCTTAAAGCAGTCTTTTCTCTAGTCATCCATGACTAACTTTGTCCTGGGTTTCTTTTTTCCATGGTGCCTATCCTGGGTTCTTCTGTGGGCCCCAATGTCTCCACATAAGTAAGGAAATGCCTTAGATTTCTGTACGAGGCTGTCTTCCTCTCTTATCCCGTATCCTCATTATGGGTGGTCCCAGCCACTGCCATGGCTGTACTTTCCAACAAATGAAAAATTAACCTCCTCGAATTGGGCCTTTCTTCTGTGTATTTGTGTATCTTGTAGATTCCCCCACTGAAATAGCTGGTGCTTGGACCAGGAAAACTTCAAAACTTCAAGAGCATCCAGAATGCCTCAGCCCTCTGCCTCTGTGCTCTGTCCTTATGGCCTCTCCAACATGACATTTTCAGGTTCACTATATCTCTTACGTGGTAACACAGGGTCCCCACGGTGTGGAATGCGGATTGGGCCCCGAAGGAGCTTTGTGTCAGGCTTTCTGACACGGCCGCACATATCACTAGGCATCACTTACTCTGTGTTCTTCTCCCTTCCATTCACTTCACCGCTGTTGTGATGACCAGGGCCACACACCCATGCATGGTTCTGGTGCTTGCCTGCCTGGCAGTGGTGCTTGCCAGGCATCACACTCCTCTGACTGTGGTGGTCCCGCACGTTCTGGCATAGTGCTCGTGGGGGGTGGAGGGTTGTCAAGCACACTTTTGGTTTCAGTTTCAGGCTGTGATGGACCAGAAATCACACCTTTCCTTAGTTGCAATGCTGCTAAGACTCCGGGGAGTAATACTCATGGCCTCGTGTTAGCAAAGCAACTACTTTCTGCTGTAGAGATCTCTTTCCCCTGAGCTTGTTTGTGTCGTGTTTTCCTTGTGGCCGTCTCAAAGGCCTATCTAAGTTCTTAAGGAAAGGACTTGAACCTCACTTCTTGGTGGGGAAATGGTAGTAAGTTTCTGAAAGAAAATATGGAATGTCAAATGCAGTAGTAGCTTTTACTATCATTATCATTATTTTATTGTATTATTATTATTGCAGTGCCAGGGATTGAACCTAGGACTCATGCATGCGTGCAGGGCAGACATTTTTCCTTTGAGCCACATTCTCAGCCAGTAGCTATTTAATAAAAAACACAATCTACCAACCTGACCATAGCAGTTCACATCCCACTTCTATGCAAAATACAACTCTCTTCTTCACACCAGCCTCCAACCCCAAACTCAGACATCAGGGTTGAGCTTGAAATCCAGACTCTGATTCTCACGTAAATTAGATTCAAGGGCAGAGAAGCTTCTTGGACATAGTTCCTCTGATAGAAATTATCTCAAAGTATTGGTGAACCAGAGACACAAATTACCTTCCCATCATGCGCCCAGTACATAGCACCGAGATGGATCAGCTACTGCAGATTTTATATATCTGAATATAAGGTACATAAAAACTTCTTTTTTGCTGGAGTGCTTGACTATATATGGAAGTAAACTTTCAGATACTAAAAATAAACCTCTCTGTTGTCAAAAAATATTTCGTGTGTTTCTGCTAAAAAAGGGAGATTTCAACAACTGTTGCAGGTTTTTATAACATGACCTATTATCGACTTGAATCTATCAAGTTCTGTCTTAAGGATTAAAAAGCAGGGGGTCGGGCTTGGTTTGGTTTGGTTGTGGGCTACACCTGGCAGTGCCCAGGGCTTACTCCTGGCTCTGTGCTCAGGGCTCACTCCAGGCGGGGTGGTGCTCAGGGGACCATGGAGAGGGCTGTGGAGCAAATTGGTGTTGGCCACTTGTAAGGCGGCCCTGAACCTTTACTGTCCCTCATTTGCATAAAGAAGGGGGTAACTGAAGTAACTGCAGTCACGTTTGCCCTTTGCATAAACAGCCATACAACGGGCCTAAGTATATGAAACAAAGTTTTCAGGCATCTAACAGGGAATCCTAGGATATGAAACCCGAGAAAAAATGATGAAGTTTGCTATATGGCCACCTAGGCCTTCTGCCCAGAGATCCTTTCTGTATTGCACGGGGGGGGGGGGGGGGGGGGGGGGGGGGGGGGGGGGGGGATGATAAAGATTAGAGTTAAGAGAGACTGAAGTAACACACAGATTTTTCTGGACTGAGCTGCATAGACCAGGGTGATGCAGAGAGAGAATCACAGACTCAGCTTCCCCCTAAATACTGCTAAATACTGCACAAGAAAGTAAAGGGTGAAACTCCACTGGGCAGGATGAAAAAAGATCTTGGGACTATAAACAGAACCATCCCCAGAGCATGCCTGAGGCTGGAGTAGCTTTGGGTTCTGACCTACCAGACCTGAGAGTGTCGGAGGCAGCTGGACCCCTCAGGGGGCTGCAGAGAACTGCTGGAGTGAGGCTAAATGGACCCAAGACCAGGAATACTTTGGAGTTCATCTCACAGAGCTTGATGACAGTTTCCAAGGAGTTATCAAAATCCCAACAGTGTTTTTCACGGAAGCAGAAAGGTCTGCCCTAAAATTCCTGCGGAATCCCCCGAGACTCCCAAATAGGCGATCTTGAAAAAGAACCCAGTGAACCACACGTGCACGCTTCCTGACTGCAGAACCTATTACAGAGGCTGGGTCTCTGGACTTACATGTGAGGCATTGTAGTTCTGCTGTAAGAACAGCTGTTTCGACCAAGGGAATTGGAGGGTGTTCAGAATGCCACAGTGACGAAGGTGCTCTGCTTGCTCCCCGCATGCAGGAAACCCCGGCAGGAGTCTCCAGCAGCACATGTGGTCTCCGGAGTACCACCGCAAGTGATCCCAGAGCATAGAGTGGTTCCTGGGAACTGAAAATCATGGCCTAAAAACCCTTCCCCCCAAAAAATAAAAGTAAAGGGAATAAAATAGAGCAAACAAAGTAATATAAATATCCAAAAAGATGTAACATGCATAGAAATATATTTATATTTAAATAAGAAAAAGAATATACATAGAAGATCTGAACTGCCCAATTTGTAAAAATAAAAATACAAACATATAGCCACATATGAAATGATGCTATTTGTTAGGGAAAGGATCACTGAAGCCACGAGATAATATTTTACTTACGTGTCATGTTTACAAAAACTTCAGAGACTAACAATATCCAGTGTTGATGAGAACTAGAAAAACATACTTTCACAGCCTTCACTAAAATTAAGATCTATAACGTCTACTTCTGTGTTATTATCTTCACCTTAAACATTTCTGTGCATTCAGAGTGTCATTGACTAGGTGGTTTATCCAGAATTTAGAGAGCTTCTGGGGGTGTAGCTCAGTAGTAGTAAAGTATTTACCTTAGATTTGACACCTGGTGTCTCAAAAGAAGTTTTCGAATTTATAAACAAATATCAATAGAGTAAAAGTAAATAAAATACGGTATAGTTAAACTGCTCAGTGGAATAAGTAGAGAACAAAAACATTTATTGAGAATCTATAAAAACATAAAAAGATTCCTTAGACACATGGAGGGGGTAATCTGGTTTATTTTTAAAAACAAGACATTTGTGTGCAAGAATGGTGGAAACATGAGAGAACTGACCTGATGCACGCTTGAACTATGAGAACAGAACTGAGGTTCCCGAGTTGACTGAAAGTCAGGGGTGAGGCAGGAAGGAACAGGACAGACTCAGACATAAAGACAACGGAGAGATTGTTGCCATATTTCCTCAATTTAAAAAAAATATTTTTTAATAATAAATTTTATAGGAACTTTGAAAAAATGGCTCTATAAGTTGACTTTTGTAAGATAGTTGTATCTTTTGTTGTCAGAAATCCTTTGGGATTTTATTAATAGCCTATTTTATGGGAAAAAAAAGTACTATATGTACTTACAATTGAGAAAAAATTATTTGAAAAAGTACATGTAAAGTATAGAGCAGTGATTATCTTAAAGTGGGGCAAAGGGTGACATCAGAAGCTTGTTTGCCATCTTGGCAGTGTTATTTTACCTTAATAGATGTGTCATTTTTAAGATACCAAGGTGGGAGGCTGGGGTGATAGTACAGCAGGGTGGTTGTCTGCCTTGGCTAACCCAGTTCGATCCCAGCATCCCATTTGTCCCCGGAGCACTGCCAGGAGTAATTCCTGAGTGTAAAGCCAGGAGTGACCGCTGAGCATTCCTGAGTGTGAGCCTCCCCTTAGTAAAAGACAAGGTGGGCACCAGAGTGACAGTACAGCAGGTAAGGCTCTTGCCTGGCACGCAACTTGCCCGGGTTTGATCCCTGGCACCACATGGGGTCCCCCAAGCCCAGAGCCAGGTTGTTAGTTTGTGAGGTTTTATCTTGTAAAAGATTTATGCAAAAAAAGTTAAAAGACTAATAAAAGTAAATACAGTCACTTGTCAGTAAAAGTCCTCGGGATTATCTAAATATTGTAGTCACTAAAGAAAAAGGGAAACTAATCCAGTACCCAGGCCTGTTATCTATTGATACTGTCTATACCCTTGTTTTATTTCATCATACACCACATAACTAAAACTAAAAATACTATAGTAACCACATTACCTAAAATATAATAAAGAGAAGAAAGAAAAAAGAGAAATGGGGAAAAAAGTCATCGTTTTCCTCTTTTCTTTATAGGTTCTAGATGATCTGGAATGTCACGGAGCTGCAGTATCAGATCAAAGCCGAGCCGAATTGGAACAGAAGATCGATGAAGCCAGAGAAAATATCCGCAAAGCAGAGGTGAGAGGGCAGCCGGTGGTGCTGCCTTACATTGCTGAGACATCAAAACTTGATACAATCTTGAAAATTCACTTCCTGGGGGCCTGAGGTAGTACTGGGGTAAGGACCCTTGAGCCTGGCATGTGGCGGCTGCGGCCCTAGTTTGAATCCCAGCGCCACTTACGGTTCCCATGATCACCACCAAGTGTACACCCTGCCCCCGAAAAATACCCCCAATTTCAGTACAAAGAGCAGAACTATCCAGCCTCCAAGACGTACATGTTTTTGTTAGGAAACCGTAAAGACTGCCAAAGATAACAAAGACGATAACACAGAATTGCCAAGGAGGAACCCCCGCCACCTGAGCAGCTAACTGAATACCTAAGCAACCCAGAGGACTTCGATCACTATGGGAAGAGTTGTTAGCACAGGTGACACAGGGGAATGGGACTTGGATTTTGTCTCTGATTGGTCAGTGAAAAGGGTGTAGCATAGATTTACCCCACTCAAGAGGCAGAACTTGAACCAAAGATCTAGTCGGGGGAGGTCAGCCTGAGCTTGCTATTGAGCCTGTGGCCTGGTATTGCTGAGAGTTAGATTGGACAGAACCAATATAGTGGGCTATAGTGTGCACCAGGAATGTACCAGGAAGTTCTGGGCAAGCCTCTCTCCTACCAGGAGCTCTCAATCAGGAACTCGTGCACTAGTTGAAGGTTTATCTAAACCAGTGATTTTCCAAGACTGTCTTGGGATTCTGGAGGTCATGAGGAAGCGTTCTCTCGTGGTCGGACCTGTTGTGGGGAACGCAAGTGGAGGAGATCCAGCATGCTTGGGGGACGGTTAGAACGGGGAAGGCTTGCTGTCTGCCTGGCCTGGAGAAGCCCCAGTCATCCCCACCCGCAGCCTTCGTGGTGAAGAGAGCAGGCTGTGCAGTGAGCAGCCACTTTCCTCTCTGAACCCCAAATTGTGGCTAAGCCACTCCTGAGGGTGCCGGCCAGTTTCCGCTGGCAGCCCTGAGAGGTCTGGGAAGCCTGGCTCGCTGCTTGCCTAGAAGAGCTTTGCCCTGTTGTTTGTTGCTCCAGGCACCGGGAAAGCTTGTTTCAGAGCCTTGGGTGGAACAGAACAAGTCTCAGAAGTACTCGGAAGGCGTGTACTCATTCTCCATGGCCGAACTCCATCCATGGTGTCACCGTCTGCTCCCTAAGTCCTAGCAACCCCTCAGGGGGCTGGAGGGCCATTCCCCAAAGCTGGACTAAGGACATGGTGCTGTGGTGCCGGGACCACCAGGACCCCCCTGGTAGTATTCAAGGGGCCTCTCAGGCCACACCCAGCAGAGCCAGACTGAGAACCATGCCAGGCTTGCAGTGTAACCTCTCTACTAGCTCCCCAGCCCCCAGAAAGAAATTTTATATTGTCCTTGTGTCAGATAAACTTGCTAAAATTCACTAGTTCTTTCTTTCATAGATTCCATAGGTCAATCATATGAATGTGTTCAATCCTACAAAGCAGTTTTACTTTGTTTCTGAAGCATTTTATTAATTTTTCTTGCTTTACTGCCCTGGCTAGTAGAATAAATAAAAGTGGAATAAAAGAGGTGAGCACCAGCATCCTACCTTTCTCCCTAACATTTAGATTTGCATCACTAAGTGCAATATTGCCTGTAACTTTTTGGTCAGTGTCCTTCACTGACTTGAGAAGAGGTTCGTTTATCTCTGATGGTTAATCCAAGTATTAAATGTCACCAAATACCTTTCCGACATCTCATTTATTTTTCTTTTACTGGTTGTCATCCAAACATTAAACCAATCTTGAATTTCTCCTTGATCAAGATTCTTTTCTATATTGCTAGATCCAGTTGGCTAATGTTTTGTTAAAGGGTTTTGTCTTTATAAAGTCAATTAGGAAATTCCCACACCGTCTCTTATTTTCCTCCTGGCTTTTTTCTGTAAGCTTGGTATAACTTCTTCCGTAAGGAGGATCTCGCCTATGCAACACTGAGGCCATCTCAGCCCCTCAATGGTCCCCGAAGCATGGAGTGCCTCCAGATATTGCTCCTGAGTACCTCCAGGTGTGGCACAAAAAAAAACAAATAATAAAGTACATCTGAGGGCCAAAGGGAGAGAACATGTCTTGCGTAGACAGACCTGTTTTTGAGCCTGGTACCATATGACCACACATATCCCACACCTCCAGTTGTGACCCTGGTGTGCCCCCACCAGCACTTCTAGGTGTGACCCCCCCCCCCCACGACAATTAAAAAAAAAACACCTGTTAAGCATTCCTGAAAATTTCAGGGTGTTGCTCAGTATTCGATCACATGCTTCCACTCAGCATATAAGGCCCCTGAGTTTGGTTGGCACCGAAACAGATAAGACAGACAGCTGTGTAAGCTAGATAAGGGAGAGCAAGGCCATGTCCTAGGACATAAGCTAGTATCAGTACGTTTTAAAAAGAATATTATCTCTGATTCCTCAGAATTACATCCAAAATTAATAACAAAGATTCCTGGAAATCCCGAGGTATGTGCAAGTTCGGTTTCTTGCCTTGAAGAAAACTCCCAGATTTATAGCAGTGATTTGGTATCTCCCACTGTTCCGGCCGTTGACTGCAGGCCTTGCCTGAGTTTGCTCCTCGAGCTATGTTCAGTAAAGAGCCTGCTAGTCAGCCAGTTGGTCTCTGAGACTCCGGTGGGCTGCCCGAGGTTTCCTCACGTGGCCGTTGCACAGTCTAAGAAGTCAGGTCCTAGTAGCACTGCATTAACTTATTCTCATGTGTCCCATTAGGCAGAGCAAGTCACACAGACGAGCCCCGGGTCTGTGTTGGAGGGCTCCTCAGACAGCAGGAGGCATGATTTAGGTAAATTTGCCAGGAAAGACATGACCTTGGCTAGATCATTTATCTTTCATGAAGTGGAGTGTTTGATAGCCATCCTCCACCTCATTATGTGAATTGACGGAAATAGTATAAATAGGTCATTTCTAGACCATTTGGGTGATTTTTTTTTCTTAAGATAGCAAAGGTCAGTTGAGAGTGAATAATACTGTCATCTACTATTGCTCATTTCCTATTTGTCCTGAGTAGTAGGTTAGACTAGCCCCATCTCTTATCCTGAGAGAGCATATGTTTGAAAGTCAACGAATTAACTTCTGACACCAAATTAGAGTTTAGAACTATCAAAAAGCTTCACAGATTCAGTGCGGCTTGACATTTCAGATATGCTTATGTTACGTTTTATATTAAAATTAGTTGACATTGTTAATACACCAAGATTGTGTCCTAACAGATTTGGATTTTCCAAATAATGCTCTTAAAAGCCTAGCTAGTTACAAATTCTAAAAATACTCAGTCAGGTAGTACCTAGAATGCCATCAGCTCACAAAGAACTGTGCCCTACAAAATTTTAATCAGTTGGCAAATTATCAAAATCCATTTGAAAACACTGGAAAATTTTTCTCTTAAACAGTTGTTGAAATATATAGACAGTTGGAATTCTAAAAGAAAGATAGCAGTGCTTATTCTGGAACTTCAGTCAAAAAAGTCTAAGTTTGCAAATACCACTTTCATCAGCTGTTTGATAAAATGCTGACAGAAATTTCATGAAACTCAATTACTTGGTGTGGAGACAATTGGGAACTGAGGATACAGGCTGATCTCTCACCCTTTGTCTCTGCTTCAACATTTAAATGACTTACATTTGGGTTCAAGAGAGGACTTGTTAACTTACTTCTTTCAATTAAATGTCCTTGCCTTTATTGGTTTTAAATGCGTATTTTTTAAAAAATGAGGAGGGAGAGCCATCCACAGCAGTGCTCAGACTGATTCCCGCCTCTACTCAGGGATCACCCCTGGAGGTGCTTCAGGGATTCTGTGTGTTGCAGGAGATCCATCCTGGGTCTGCTGCATGCAAGGCAAGGCCTGCCCCTTAACCCCTGTATTATCTTTCTTACCCCTAAAATCACTGTATCACTGTCCTCCCGTTCATCAATTTGCTCGAGCGGGCCCAGCAGTGTCTCCATTTTGAGACTTGTTGTTACTGTGCTTGGCATATTGAATACATCACGGGTAGCTTGCCAGGCTTTGCCATGTGGGTGAGATACGGCTCGGCCGGGCTGGCTGTGCACAAGCAAACGCCCTACTGCTGTGCTATCGCTCCAGCCCCGACCCCTAAAATGCATTTTTTTTTGTGATGCAAAATAGCTTTTATTGAAACTAACTTAGAAAGATGTGAGGAAAGAGGAAGTACATGTTTAAGAGAGCATACAGTCTTCTCCAGAGTGGAAAAAGCAAAGAATCATAAAAGCAAGCAAACAAGACAGGTGTTCAAAGCGGAGTGCGGGCTTGAAGAGCAAGCCCTTAAAGTGCTTGTTCTTTTGATAGTGTGCTGGCATTCAAACTTGTTTAGTGGATGTGCTCGGGCTTCGATATACAGGGGCATGGAAGCTGTTCTCCTGAGATTTTATAGTATTTTAAGCCAATGATAAAATCAATGAGATCTGTTTTTTTTAAAAAAGAGAGATAAAATAAGGGCCAGGGATATAGCTCAAGTGTTAAAGTACAAGCCTAGCATGTGTGAGGCCCCAGGTTCAATCCCCGACACCTCATCTGTGCCTTTCCCTCCCCAGCACCTTGGAAGTAGCCCGTGGTAGCCCCTGAGCACAAAGTTAAACGGGAAAGAAGATGCTGCTGAGATAACGGAACATCCATAAGCAGAAGAAGGAATTTAGACCCCCTCCCCTCCCATCAAATTAAAAAATTAGCTTAAAAAAAACTAATATAACTGCTAAAGTGATAGAACTTTTTCCTGTAGGATGGGTCACCTCTTTACCAGTTTATAAAGCTGTTATTGGTAGGCTTTCATTCATAAAGGTTCTGGCACCACGCTCTCTACCAGAAGGTGCTCCCTAGTACCTCACTGTCCTAGTACCTCCCCACTCCATTCCCCCTCCCCATGCCCCCCTGGCAAGTTTCCTACTGAGGATGAGCTCTCTCTTTCTGCTGCCTTCGAGCACTTGTTATTCTACTGCCAGATCCCACATTCCAGAGAGATGATTATGTGACTGTCCCTCTCCTGACTAGCTTCACTGCACATGGTACTCTGCAGACCCATCCACAGAGCGACAAGTGGCATGATGCTCTCTTTCCCTAGAGCCTAGCAGTACTCCGTTGTGTGCATGTATCCCGTCACCTGTTCTTAGACATTTGGGCTGTTTTCAGATTTTCTCCATCTGTGGGGTGACTTTTTGGTCATCTGGTCATCGTTTCTTTTGCAGTGCAGAAGCTGCTTATCTTCGAGTAGTCGGTCCCATTTGTTTTTACGTTTGCTTCCGTTTGCTTGGTCAGTGGCACTGACTCATTGAAGACACCTCTAACTTCAATGAAGTGTTCTCCCTCTGCCTTCCTCCCTCCCGTCTCTCTTTCTCTCTCCAGTGAAGAATTAGCCCCTGTGCCGTGTGAGTGGATATCAAGATTGTTCTGATTAATAAATAAGGAAGAACTTGCAATCGGTCTGGGGGACACGCCTTGATCTCTGGCCTTTACTGTGGTTTTCCTAGATAATTAAGTTGAAAGCAGAAGCCCGGCTGGACCTGCTAAAACAGATCGGCGTTTCTGTGGACACATGGCTGAAGAGTGCAATGAACCAAGTGATGGAGGAACTGGAGAACGAGCGATGGGCACGCCTCCCTGCGGTGACCAACAATGGCACTTTACACTCGGTACCACTCCTTTTCTCTGATGTCACTGAGGGTTCTCTGACGACATGGCCAAGTCTGAAAACAGCCAGAATTCATTTTGTTTGGTTTTTGGGGTTTGTTTGTTTGGGTTTTGTTTTTTTTTTTGGGGGGGGGTTGGAGAGGGTTGACCATGCCTAGCAATGCTCAGGGGTTACTCCTGGCTCTGTACTCAAGAAACACTCTCAGTGGGACTAGGATTGTCATATGGGATGCTGGGGATCAAACCCAGGTCAGCCACATGCAAGGCAAGCACCCTACCCACTTTGCTATCTCTCTGTCCCAAGCCAGAATTGAAAAGGGGAAAAGAAAAAAAATTATGTGTGTGTGTGTGTGTGTGTGTGTGTGTGTGTGTGTGTGTGTATGCTGGAGCGATAGCACAGCAGGTAGGGCGTTTGCCTTGCAAGCAGCCAACATGGCCGACCCAAGTTTGATTCCTCCGCCCCTCTTGGAGAGCCCGGCAAGCTACCGAGAGTATCTCTCCCGCACAGCAGAGCCTGGCAAGCTACCCATGACGTATTCGATATGCCAAACACAATAACAACAAGTCTCACAATGGAGACGTTAGTGGGCCCGCTCGAGCAAATCGATGAGCAACGGGAGGACAGTGACAGTGATGTATATGTGGATGGATGGATGGATGGATGGATAGATAGACAGACAGACAGACAGACAGACAGACAGACAGACAGACAGACACACACACACACACACACACACATATATAATGATTTTGATAGTGGTTTGGATTTTCTTCTACTCCTCTCCCATCCTGTCCCTGTCCCTTCTTCCACCATGTCTTTCTCCCTCCTTCCACCCTATCCCTGTTGTAGGGTTGAATATATGGGGGTTTTTTTATAACTAATTGGTACAAGTTTCCCAAACTCAATTGTTTCATTCATGAGGTAGATAGCCTTCTTGTCTGCAAGTACAAGAATAAGCATTTCAATCCAGTGGTTTGGAAATGCACATAAAGTTGTGAGCAGCCTGGGTGAGGAGGGGATTGAGCTGTTGGTCTGTGGCTTCATCTGACCTGGGTCTGGTCGGCATCTGCGTGTCTGCGTCAGGTGTTGGGCTCTCTGATACCAGCGAGTTCCACGTCCGTCTTTAAAGGTTTAGGGAAGCAAGGGGGGAGCACTGGGACAACTCCCAGCAGTGCTCAGGGGCTCCTCCCAGCTCCGTGCTTGGGGGCTGCTCCCGCCATGTGCTCAGCTGACAGGGCTCTCTCTCTGGCTCCCTTTCGTCTTCCATGGAGGAGCTCTGAATACAGAAATGTTCAGCCTGACACTGTAAGTGCGTGATGGCTAGTCACTGGGGCCAACGCGCGGCGGCTTTCCCTGGGTTGTGGCGAGGTTAAAAGCACAGGTCTGAAGGCGCGCTGGCTCTCCGCACCACGCCCTCTCTTCCCTCCCATCCTGTGTGTGATATTTGTCATCTTCTTTGCTTGTCTGCATTTGTTTTCTGTGGTTTACTGTTTGGCTTCCTCTCTGGAGGGCAGCTGCCGTGTCCCCCTCTCCCGGCTCCGGGCTGTCCGGCAGAGTGCTTGGCAGGGCACTTTCTCAGTCCGTATCTCTGCAGGCAAATGTGAATGAAGGGCTGGGCACACGCGACAGTGGCAAGCTGAAAGCTAAACCCTGATCTCTCAACTCTTATCTGTCGTGTTTGTGCTCTCGAGATAGAAGATAGCCTGACTGGAGAAAATGCCTGCGTAAGAGCATTCCTTGAAGTTTTGTTAGCTTTCTCACATGGCGTTAGAATGGGAACGCACATTTGAAAAGGATTGTGGTGGGGGAGTGTTTTCAGGGGAAAGAGTCTCATGGAGGTTTATTCTGATTTCACTGTTAATGAAAACAAATCAATAGTTAATAGAAATAATTGCTAACAAAAATAAATTGATAGAAAATAAATTCATTCTAGATTCACTCATTTTTTAATTTATTTTATTTTATTTATTTTTTTTTTTGCTTTTTGGGTCACACCCGGCGATGCACAGGGGTTACTCCTGGCTCTGCACTCAGGAGTTACTCCTGGCGGTGCTCAGGGGACCATATGGGATGCTGGGAATCGAACCCGGGTCAGCCGCGTGCAAGGCAAACGCCATACCCGCTGTGCTATCTCTCCAGCCCCAACTTTTTTTTTTTTTAAAGATTTATTTAACTTTTTATCGAATCACCATGAATTGCAAAGTTACAAAGATATTTGTGATTGAATTTTGGGCACGTAATGCTCCTACACCAATCCCTTCACCAGTGTACACTGCCCTTCATCAATGTTCCCAGTTTCCCTTCTGCCCCCAAGCCTGTGTCTCTAGCGGTCACTTTTCCCCTATCTGATTTTCTGTCCTAGTGTTCCTTTTCCTAATTTATTAGATTCACTCTTAACTGGTAAAAATAAGCACACTTCGGGGGTGGAGTGATAGCATAGCGGGTAGGGCATTTACCTTGCATGCGGCCAACCCGGGTTCAATTCCCAGCATCCCATATGGTCCCCTGAGCACCTCCAGGAATGATTCCTGAGTGCAGAGCCAGGAGTGACCCAAAAAAGCAAAAAATAAATAAGCACACATTACCCACTTAGCTTAGCAGTTAAGCATACCATGTTTTCACTACAGCGGCATTGCTCCATGCTATGGAATGTTTCTCCCTATTATATCATTTAAGTCCGTTTCTGTCTAGTTCAGATCATTCTTTTAGACTCAGCAGCAAATTTGTGACAACAGCAAATTCTGGCTTTTTCAGCAGCATCATTGGCAGTCAATCAAATCATGTATTTTGCTTGGACCTAGTATATTTTCTAAGTCAACTGAGAGGACAGTTGTACCTGCTTTCTTGGTAGATCAGAGATGGACAAAATTTGGTTTTCTCAAAGACCTTTATAGAATTGTGGCAGTGTGTTTAGATGTGGGCTACTGCGGTAAACTCAGAATATCTCTTACTCCTAACTGACTGACACACATAAAACTTGGGGGAGAAAGTCGCTTTCTGGGTTTTAGGAAGAAAGTTCAGGTTAGATGATTCTAAAATGCCCCTTCAACTTCAAAATTCCATTGTTTTGTAAATACTTAGAAAAGTATTAATTAGAATTAAATAACTAGGAAGACTCACATTTACCTTTACCACACCAGCATTTAAAAAAAAAAAAAAGTAGCTTCGCCCAAGAAGGATAGGTCCTTTGAGAGTACTCCAAGAATTTAGCAGGCGGAAAGCTCTTCTGATAGGAAGGGGAGCAAGGAGCCCTGCCTGGCACCGTGTCCAGAGTTGGCAGAACCTGGCTGGAGTGTTGACCGTGTTGAACTTTTGTGAAAACTGTTTAAAGATACCAGCTCATTGTAAAGACACCAGCTCGTGTAGGGAGCCTTCAGCAACTCCATCCCACTCGTGTCTTGCCTCTAATTCGTTCTGGGGCCTGTGTCCATCCTCTTTGAACTGAGCGGTTATATTTCGTGAAGGTCTCCTCATAGTATAAATAAAGGAAAGATGTCCACAGAAAACCTGGCTTAATAAAAGTCCCATGTTTATTTAACCTGCTCTTAATGACAGCACTGAAATCATGTGGAGGGAGTTGTGTCTCCTCATACAGACGACTAGCTGGCTGAGGGGCCTGAAACAGGAATACATTCCAGGGACCAAATTATTTCTTCCATTATTGATGCCAACAAAAGCACTAGTCATCAAGTGTAGATTTCCTTCCATCTGGAAAACATGGTTAATACTACCATTAGACATTCACTGTGTAAAATGTCTTAATAGACAATAAATAGATTTTTTTTAACATATGGCCTCTTGGGACTGGAGAGATAGCTGAAAGGACAGGAGCGCATTACTTACACGTAGAAGGTCCCACATTTGATCCCCGCACTGTGTGGCCCCCTGAACGTAGCAGGGTTATCCCTGGTGGTCCCCAACCTCCCTTGGCCTGAGCAGCACTGACTGCCCAGCCTTGGCACTAAACCCTCAGGCCCACCCCAAGTATGACCAGGAGTGGCCTTCAGACCCCCAACCATATGGGGGAAGTCGCCCCTAAAAATGTATATATATTTTTATAAGACATGTGTGTACACATATATTATAAAAAGATGTGTGTTTATGTATTTACCTTATTTTAAAAAGAGATGAACAGTACTTATTCGGGTATTATTTGTACTATATTTGTATTATTTGGCCTTCTGTATTATGCTGTGGGACAAAATCTAGAATTGAAAAGGAAAAAGTTCACAGAATCTAGCCAAAACGAAAAAAAAAAAAACTGTTTTTATGGAGAACAGCCTACCAGCGCACAGTCTCTCAGTTGGTGGTTAGCCGGGACTCTCACTGTGTGGTCTGTGGCGGGCTTTGGGCCAGTGACCCAACCATCCCTTCTGTCACTCGTCCTTCCTTTCTCTTACTTTCCAGTCTTCTCTAACTCAAAAGTATATACTCTGTTGAAAGCCTAATTTGGGGATTATGTTCATTTTAGAATCGAAGTTACAGAATTGTAGATTACACCAGTTTTAGAAAGCCCATTGGAGAAAGAAGTGGTCAGTAGCTGCTGCCTCCATAGACCAAATTAGCAACTTGGTCTAATTCCTTGTTACTCTTAAAAAAATATTTGGCATGGGGTAAAGTGTGTGTGTGTGTGTGTGTGTGTGTGTGTGTGTGTCTATCTGTCTGTCTGTGTGTGTGTGTGTCTCTGTGTGTTTTAGGCCACACCTGACTGACTGTGCGCTTACTACTGGCTCTGAGCTTGCTCAGGGCTTACTCCTGGCAGTGCTCTGGGGACCATATGTGGTACCAAGGATTGATACCTGGATTGGCCACATGTAAGGCGTGTCCTACCCACAGCATTATCTGTTACGCCAGCCCACTTTTGTATATTTTTTCATCTAACATTCTGTCTTGCTGGATGATCTTCTAAATATTATTCTCAAAACATCTGTATACATATTTGTCTTTTCCCTGGTGGGGATTTCTTTTTCTTTAAGATAGGATTTTAAAAATGGAAGCACG